GATGGATCCGTTGCAAAGATAAGCGCGCGCCAGCAATGGATATCCCGTTTGAATAGCATTAACATAATTGAAATATCACGGAGGTCGGAATACCGCAGTGCGTATATACGCTGCCTCATAATGCAAAGGTCCCTGGTTCAATTTCCCCCACCGGCGGTGACAGCTTTTTTTAATTTATTTATTTAAAAATTCATCATGATTAAGATGTCATAACCTCACAATTTCAAATTTACCGCCATCAGCGCCGCCGCCATCTGCAAATTTGAACTTCGCGCCACCAGCGACACCAGCGACACCAGCGCCAACGCTAACTAGCGGCATTTTATTGAAGCTCTGGCGACCAATCCGCTTTGTATCACTACTGTAATTGCAGATACGATTGCACTGACCATATAGGACGACTTCGAAGGACATACAACGAGAACAAAAGGCAAGTGAAGATACTTCGACAACATCAGTTCGCATACCGTTCCTCTGTATTCTATCATCCCACATGGATACCTCTGGAGCATATGAGTTCCCAACTATTATATAAAAAGATATCGAAGCAGGTATAACGCACACAACAGGCAGAACAAAAAACTTCGACTTCGACTATGTCTACACTGTAACTTCGCATTCAAGCATCTGACATGCCTACAGTAATAGCAGATGCGATCGCACTGACCATATGAGACGACATTGAAGAGGACTTATAACGAGAACAATAGGCAAATAAAGATACTTCCACAACATCATTCCGCACACTGTATATCTGTATTCTATCATCTCACATGGATACCTTTGGAGCATATAAGTTCGCAACGATCATTTGAGACATCTAACCAGGAAAAACTCATAGAACAGGGAGAACAAGAAACTTCGACTATGTTCACACTGTGGCTCTGAATTCTAGCATCTGACATACCTACGGTTGAAACAGATATGATCGCATTGACCATATGGAAAGACTTTGATAGACATATAACGAGATTGATAGGCAAGTGGGGATACTTCGACATCAGTCTGCACACTGTATCTCTGTATTTCATCATCTCACATAGATACCTCTGGAGCATATCAGTTCGCATCGATCATATGAGACGACATCAAAACGGGTATAACGCACACAACAGGCAGAACAAGAAACTTCGACTTCGACTATATTTACACTGTAACTTTGCATTCTAGTATCTGACATGCCTACAGTTATAGCATATACGATCGCACTGACCATATAGGACGACTTCAATAACGAGAACAATAGGCAAGTGAAGATACTTCGACAACATCAGTCTGCACACTGTATCTCTGTATTCTATCATCTCACATAGATACATACCTCTGGAGCATATCAGTTCGCAACGATCATATGAGACGACATCAAAACGGGTATAACGCACACAACAGGCAGAACGAGAAACTTCGACTTCGACTATGTTTACTTTGTAACGTTGCATTCTAGCATCTTGAATGCCCATTCAAGGAGTATATATGACATCTCATCACATGCGAGTGGAGTACTATTCTTTTTCATATCTACTAAGAACTTCGATTCCAACACAACCAAGAGTCGGTGAACCGGCGTGTTCGCCAAAACTTCGAATTTATCAATCTTGATTAAGTCGATTATACATCTCATAGGTAGACATTGTGAAGTGTTTCCTGATTCAGAATCACGCAAACAACAGGGGGAACAAGAAACTTCGACTTCGACTATGTTCACACCGTAACTTCACATTCTAGCATCTGACATGCCTACAATAATTTCAGATACTATCGCACTGACCATAAAGGACGACTTCGAAGGACATATAACGAGAACAATAGGCAAGTGAAGATATTTCGACAACATCAGTCCGCACACCATCTCTGTATTCTATGGATACCTATGGAGCATATGAGTTCGCAACTATTATATAACAAGACATCGAAGCGGGTATAACGCAAAGAACAGGCAGAACAAGAAACTTCGACTCCGACTATGTTTACACTGTAACTCCGCATTCTAGCATCTGACATGCCTACAGCTATAGCAGATACGATCGCACTGACAATATAAGGCGCTATACTTCGAAGGACATATAACGAGAACAATAGGCAAGTGGAGATACTTTGACAACATCAGTCTGCACACTGTATCTCTGTATTCTATCATCTCACATGGATACCTTTGGAGCATGGTAGTTTGCAACGATCATATAAGTTGGCATTGAATCGGGTATAACGCACACAACAGGCAGAACAAGAAACTATGACTTCGACTATGTTTACTTTGTAACTTCGCATTCTAGCATCTTGAATGCCCATTCAAGAAGTATATATGACAGCTCATTATATGCGAGTGGAGTACTATACTTTTTTATATCCACCAGAAAAACTTCGATTCCAACAATCAAGAGTCGGTAAACCGGCGTGTTCGCCAAAACTTCGAATTCATCAATCTTGATAATAAGTCGGTTATACATCTTATAGGTAGACATTGTCGAGTGTTTCCTGAATCAAAATAACGCTTACAGCAGGGAGAGCAAGAGACTTCGACTTCGACTGTGTTCACACTGTAACTTCGCATTCTAGCATCTGACATGCCTACAGTTATTGCAGATACGATCGCACTGACCATATAGGACGACTCCGAAGGTCATACAACGAGAACAATAGGCAAGTGAAGATACTTCGACAACATCAGTCCGCATACCGTATCTCTGTATTCTATCATCTCTGGAGCAAATGAGTTCGCAACTATTATATTATAAGACGACATCGAAGCGGGTATAACGCACACAACAGGCAGAACAAGAAACTTCGACCTCGACTATGCTTACACTGTAACTCCGCATTCTAGCATCTGACATGCCTACAGCTATAGCAGATATGATCGCACTGACCATATAAGACGACTTCGAGGGACATATAACGAGAACAAATGACAAGTGAAGATACTCCGACATCAGCCTGCACACTGTATCTCTGTATTGTAACATCTCACATGAATACCTTTGTAGCATGGTAGTTCGCAACGATCATATAAGACGACATCGTAGCGGGTATAGCGCACACAACAGGCAGAACAAGGAACTTCGACTCCGACTATGTTTACACTGTTCCTCCGCATTCTAGCATCTGACATGCCTGAAGCTATAGCAGATTCGATCGCACTGACCGAATGAGACGACTTCGAAGGACATATAACGAGAACAATGGGCAAGTGAAGATAGTTCGACAACATCAGTCTGTACACTGTATCTCTGTATTCTATCACCTCACATGAATGCCTCTGGCGCATATCAGATCGCATCGATTATATGAGACGACATCAAAACGGGTATAACGCACACAACAGGCAGAACAAGAAACTTCGACTTCGACTATGTATTCACTGTAATTTTGAATTCTAGCATCTGACATGCCTACAGTTATAGCAGATTCGATCGCACTGACCATATAGGACGACTTTGAAGGACATATAACGAGAACAATAGGCAAGTGAAGATTCTTGGAAAACTTCAGTCCGCACCCGCACACTGTATCTCTGTTTCCTATCATCTCACATGGATACCTTCTGAGCATATCAGTTCGCAACGATCATATGAGACGACATCATAGCGGGTATAATTCACACAACAGGCAGAACATGAATTTTTGACTCCTACTCTGTTAACACTGTAACTTCGCATTCAAGCATCTGACATGCCTACATATATAGCAGTTACGATCGCACTGACCATATAGGACGACTCCGAAGGTCATACAACGAGAACAATAGGCAAGTGAAGATACTTCGACAACATCAGTCCGCATACCGTATCTCTGTATTCTATCATCTCTGGAGCAAATGAGTTCGCAACTATTATATTATAAGACGACATCGAAGCGGGTATAACGCACATAACAGGCAGAACAAGAAACTTCGACCTCGACTATGCTTACACTGTAACTCCGCATTCTAGCATCTGACATGCCATCATATGAGACGACCGCACTGACCATATAGGACGACTCCGAAGGTCATACAACGAGAACAATAGGCAAGTGAAGATACCTCGACAACATCAGTCCGCATACCGTATCTCTGTATTCTATCATCTCTGGAGCAAATGAGTTCGCAACTATTATATAAGACGACATCGAAGCGGGTATAACGCACACAACAGGCAGAACAAGGAACTTCGACCCCGACTATGTATACACTGTAACTTTGCATTCTAACATCTGACATGCCTACAGTTATAGCAGATTCGATCGCACTGACTATTTAGGACGACTTCGAGGGACATATCACGAGAACAATAGGCAAGTGAGATACTCCGACAACATCAGTCTGCACACTGTATCTCTGATTGTAACATCTCACATGAATACCTTTGTAGCATGGTAGTTCACAACGATCATATGAGACGACATCGAAGCGGGTATAACGCACTCAACAGGCAGAACAAAAACTTCGACTCCGACTATGTTTACACTGTAACTCCGCAATTTTGCATCTGACAGCAATAGCAGGTACGATCGCACTGACCATATGAGACGACTTCGAAGGACATATAACGAGAACAATAGGCAAGTGAAGATACTTTGACAACATCAGACTGCACACTGTATCTCTGTATTCTATCATCTCACATAGATACCTCTGGATAAGTTCGCAACGATTATATGAAACGACATCGAAGCGGTTATACCGCACACAGCAGGCAAAACAAGAAACTTCGACTTCGACTATGTTTACTTTGTAACTTTGCATTTTAGCATCTTGAATGCCCATTCAAGAAGTATATATGACAGCTCATTATATGCGAGAGGAGTACTTTACTTTTTCATATCCACCAAAAACTTCGATTCCAACAATCAAGAGTCGGTAAACCGGCGTGTTCGCCAAAACTTCGAATTTATCAATCTTGCTAATAAGTCTAATTGTCTAATGTTTCCTGAATCAAAATGACGCTCACAACAGGCAGATCAAGAAACTTCGACTTCGACTTCGACTATGTTCAGTCTTCCTTATTGTTCCCGCGTTACAGTCGCCAAGCGACTGCGCCTCCCGTAACCATGAAAACAGGAGCATTCGCCATATATGTCTGTCGATACACATTTTTCCATTGTCATTGTACCATATTCATAGACGAAATAAATACTGTTGATTCGACCGAGGACATTTATTTCACAACATAAAAGGTTTAAGAATACAGTCCATTGAAGTTGTTGAACATTGGTCCTTTGAGACGGATGCAATCAGCGATTTGAAGTGAAGTTTGCAGCTTGCTGTTTCCAGCGGAGACGAAGCCTGTTTGCCAGGAGAAGCGGCTATTTTTCGAAAAACAGAAACAATTTGTGGCATTGATTTTGGAAGTTGAAATCAATACAGGGTGAGTGCCGAATCTATCCTGTTATTCCCATCAATCCTTTCCTCATTTCTCGTGTGGCTTCAAATATAATCGTATTTTCTCGTAGTATTGGTACACATTTCGCGGATTATATTATTTAGCTTGACTCGATTTGTAGTGGGTACCGGGTAATTCAGCATCCAACTAGTTATCTCGTCTAATGGTGGTACCATCCCCTCCGCAATCTTCACACTCCATAATCTCTATCAACGATAATTCGATACAAAATAATATCAAATTACCTACCATTCAGTTGAAAAAGTTTCGAGGTGATTACGATACTTGGTTGGAATTTCACGATATGTTCAGCTCTCTCATACATAAAAATTCCACGAATAATAGAGTTCAGAAATTCCATTACCTTCGTGCATCTTCAGAAGGGTGTGCGGCGGAAATCATTCACTCGTTGGAATTATGTGAAGCAAACTACGAAACAGCATGGTCACTCATTTGCACCCGTTTCAACAATGATAGAATTCTTGTTAACAACCACGTTAGTAGCTTGTTCAATTCGGACAACATGAAAGAAGAATCATCTGATTCCATTCGAAAATTGTTAGATAATGTGACAAAACATTTGCGCGCGTTAAACACATTGAAAGAACCGACTACCAATTGGGATACACTCATTATTTACCTAATCGTCACAAAATTGGATCCAATCACGTCTAGAGAATATGAGGAGTCACGAAGTAAAATTCCTACAGAAAAACCATCTTTGGAAGTTCTGAAAACATATTTAAAAGACCGCGCAGATCTGCTTGAAACGATTGAACATAGCAAAGTTGACAAAAAATTGCGAAAAATGAAATTAAATAAGCCTGATTTCAAAACCCGATCTTTCGTTGCTGCAGCTACAACTGCGGTTAGCTGCGTCTCTTGTAAAAAGGATCATTACGTATCAAATTGCGAGGAGTTTCTCAAAATTCCCGTTAATGAGCGTTATGAACATGCCAAGAAAAATAGGCTCTGTCTGAATTGCTCAAAGCCTGGTCACAATTTTGAGTTATGCCGCTCTAGTTCATGTAGAACTTGTAAGGGACGTCACAGCACTCTATTACATTTTCAGCGTAAATCTGAATCGTCTCCTAACACCGAGCCTAGTACAAGCACTGCCTTGCTCTTACATAGTATGTCAACTGAACCCTCTAAAAGTATAGTGACACACATGTCTGCTCTCAATTCACAGGTGATATTAGGTAGAGCTGTGATGAAGATATTTGATAAATTCAACAAAATGCATTTTGCTAGAGCTTCGTTGGATTCAGGAAGTCAATCTTCATTCATTCGAAAGGAAATTTGTGATGAGTTGAGAATAAAAACACAAAAAATCGATTTGCTCAAGGTATCTGGTTCAAATGGTGGTTTGCTCACTAATATAGAGAGAAAGCTTGACGCAGCTATTCAATCAAACACAAACGCGTATACAGTAAATTTGTCGTGCTTGATTGTTCACCAAATCACTAGCCCCTTACCAAATATAAAATTTGACGCCACTGAATATTCCAATCAAAATCGTATTAGCTGATCCTGAATTCAACATACCGAATAATATTGATATTTTATTAGGAGCTGATTGTTTCTGGGATCTGATGTGCGTTGGGCAAATATAATAGGGGACAAAGGGTCCCATTTTGCAAAAAACTAAACTGGGGTGGCTAGTCGTTGGGCCCATTCCAGTTGATCATTCAACTCTCACTATTCATTGTAATCTTAGTATTGATAGAATTCTTACACGTTTTTGGGAAATAGAGGAAATTCCGGGAAATAAACCTCTCTCGAAAAATGATGAGTTCGTCAAATCTCATTTTCTTGATACATTCACCCGGAATAATGAAGGTAGATTCATCGTCACTATTCCGATGAAAGGTGACCTTGACACCTTGGGCGAATCTTACAATGTTGCAAGAAAGCGATTCTTACACTTAGAAAACAAATTCAGGGCTAATGAACATTTTGAGATTCAGTACTTCGAATTCATGAGAGAATATATATCTCTGAATCATATGAAAAAGATTGATACTTCACAAGATGATCCGATACATACATATTATTTACCTCACCACGGTGTGATGAAGGAAAGTAGCCTACAACCAAGTTGCGTGTTGTTTTCGATGGGAGTGCTTCCACTAGTACCGGAATATCTCTCAACAGTCTACAGTACGTTGGTCCTACTATTCAGCAGGATCTCTTATCAATTTTATTGCGCTTTCGGAAATACAATTATGTTATTGCTAGCGATATCGAAAAAATGTATCGCATGATACTAGTAAATTCCGAACAAACCCCCTTGCAAAGGATATTATTTCGCTTTGATCCCGACGATCCCTTAGATACATATCAGTTGCTCACTGTTACCTACGGAACCGCATCTGCATCATACCTAGCTATTCGGTCATCATTCCAATTAGGCAAAGAACTAGAAACGGTTGATCCTAATATCTCTGAAATCATCAAAGATGATTTTTATGTCGATGACATGTTGAGTGGTGAAGATACTATCCAGGATGCTATATACATTGCCAATGAGGTTCCAGATGTTCTCAAAAGCGGCTGTTTTAATTTGAAGAAATGGATCTCAAACAGTCCATAAATATTGAAAGGTATCAAGTATGCTGATACTTCAAATTTCATTGATTTTGGCGACAATGAAAACACTAAGACCTTAGGAATTCTTTGGAATAGTAACTCAGATTAATTAGTGTTTAAGATTGAACCCACACTCAATAGCACACAAGTTACTAAACGCTCGATTTTAACAGAAACTTCTCAGGTCTTTGATCCACTGGGTTTGCTCAGTCCTTGTATTATAATTGCTTAAATCATGTTACAAGAGCTATGGTCTGCCAAATTGTCCTGGGACGAGTCTCTACCAGTACCATTACACACAAAATGGTTATCATTTCGCAATGAACTCGTCATTCTTAATGAAATCCAAATAGATAGACAAATTACTTGTAAAGAACCTAAATATTGGGAAATTCATGGATTCTCTGATGCGTCTCAATTAGCTTACGGCGCGTGTGTCCACATAAAGTCAATAGATAAAAATAATGAGGTTAGCGTCAGATTAGTTTGCGCAAAATCAAAAGTGGCACCTATCAAACAGTTGACTATTCCACGTTTAGAGTTATCAGCTGCACTGTTGCTGGCTAAAATCTCGAAAAGATTGAAGAAATCATTGAAAAGTCCCGAAATTACTAGATACTATTGGACCGACTCCACCATCGTGTTAGGATGGCTTGGAATGGAACCCAATCAATTGCAAACTTTCATTGCTGATCGTGTAGCTTTTATACAGGATCAAACTAATAAAACCTTCTGGCGTCACGTCCCTACTTCACAAAATCCAAGTGACTGTGTGTCACGAGGGGTAATGCCAAAATTGCTAAAAAGCATGGACTTATATTGGCATGGTCCAGATTGGCTGAGAAGCGATGAAGAAGTTTGGCCTCGTTTGCCAGCAAACAACTCTACTGAACTACCAGAACTTCGCGTAGGGTTGTTAAGTCATACCCATAAAATAGAAACTTCTAATGAAATATTTAACCGCTTCTCTCGATTCACAAAATTAATTATGGCATATATATTCAGATTCAAAAATAATGCTATGATTAAATCTAACCGGAAGGTGGGGCCTTTGAAATTAGAAGAAATTGATCTATCAAACAGAAACCTCGTTAAATTATCCCAGTCTGAATCATTTGGAAACGAAATTCTTGATTTATTGAGAAATAAATTGAACATCAAAAATGCTTTGAGCAGGCTCAAACCTTTTATTGATGAATATGGATTGCTACGATGTGGTGGCAGGTTAGTGAACTCGCAATTCGATTACGATAAGAAGTTTACTATTTTGTTGTCTTCCAAACACACCTTTACCAAGTTGTTGTTCAGAGAACAGCATTTAAAATTGTTACATGCGTTCAATACGTGATAAGTATTGGCCCCTAGCAGGTCGAAATCTTGCGCGAAAAATAGTGCGTGAGTGTACACGTTGTTTCAGAGCCAAACCGACTCTAACACATCCCATCATGGGAAACTTGCCAGAAGAGCGACTGATTCCCGCTCCGCCTCTTCACACAACAGGATGTGATTATGCAGGTCCTTTTCTGATCAAGAACAAACAGGGTCGTGGTGCTAGAGTATTAAAATGTTTCATAAGCTTATTTGTATGTTTCACAACTCGCGCAATTCACCTAGAGTTGGTGTCTGATCTCTCAAAAGAAGCATTTATCGCTTCATTAAGGCGTTTTGCAGCCCGTAGAGGTAAGCCAGCCTTCATTTATTCTGACAACGGCACCAACTATACTGGTGCTAAAACAGAAATTGCAAAATTAGGAAATTTTTTGATAAGTAACAGCGATGAATTGACTAACGAAATCAGAAATATGGGGATATCATAGTCATTTATACCCGCATACTCACCACATTTTGGGGGCCTTTGGGAGGCTGGAGTAAAATCAGTGAAACATCACTTACGGAGAGTTGCTCGTAATGCTTCACTTACATTCGAACATTTTTATACCCTACTCACTCAAATAGAAGCCACACTGAATTCTCGTCCTCTTTCTCCCTTTAATTCCGATCCCTCAGATTTGGCACCACTTACTCCCTCGCACTTCCTAATTGGAAGAGCCTTAACATCATTCGCAGATCCAGACCTGACTGAAGTTTCAGAAAACAGGCTGTCACATTTTCAAAGTATCCAGCAGCTTCATCAACATTTTTGGAAGCGCTGGTCTCAAGAGTACATCAGCGAACTCCAACAGCGACACAAATGGAGAA